CTTTACATTATCAACTTCAATATCGGCTTTAATCATTTCTATAGAGGTCACTGCAGGCACCCTTTGATTTCCAAAACCGTACAATTCATTCATAGCAGGTTCCGGTTTCACTTTAAGTTTCTGAGCAACTGAAGTTCTTAAAAGACAACAAGAACTCCCCGTATCAATTAAAGCCTGTACTTCTTCAGAATTATTCAGTTTTGCTTTCTTCAAGTATGAATTGCTTTTATATTTTCGCCAACTTGCTCAACAGAATAACTTTTATCATTTGAATGATTATTTTCAGGTTTAGTAACACAATTTTTAGCTTTATGACCTGTTTTATTACATTTTCGGCATGTTACGACTGGTTTGGGCAGCGGACAGTCCCTTGAGATGTGTCCAAAATTATTACAGCTGAAGCATTTTGGTTCACCTTTTTCATTATGTGTGATACCGTAGAGTTTTTTCTTTTCGTTGATTGTAGCAACTGGACCATCTTTAAAGGAGTTTCGTTTATCGTAAGACCCTTCTTTACGCGGTTGTTTATTGTTGAAAGTTGACTTCAAGGTATCATAATCATCTAGTTTTTCAAATAAATCAATTGGTGAAATCAACTCAGACCATATGTCAATAAAATGTTCTTTTACTTCTGGAGACACTTTACGTTTTATCTGATCCGCTACAATAAGGTCGCTAAGTTTCTCAAAAAGTATCTACTTTAATTCCGCTTATCTCCATTCATTAAAAAAATTTCTTAAACTCATACGCAAAATTCTTCCATGTGTTTCCTACACTCTTATTGTGCGTAAAAAATTTTTGGCGAAATTTTTCAGGTGTCATCTTGTACCGTTTTAATAAGATCCTTTTTTAACTTCTTTATAATCGTTTGCAATCTCATCGGTTTCTCTGGCGATTAACTGAGCAATATCATACGGCAATAAGCCAAACAAATGAGTAACCCATGTATTTTCTGGTATTTCAACTTGTTTAGCCAAACGTTCAAACATGATTAAATATAAACTGATATCATTCTCGTCAGGTTTAAACTTTTGCATCAAACGATGAAGCTCTAACTTTGGATTCATGTGCGTACCACTAGCATTTTCATTGGTGTCAGAATTTGTAGATTTACTTTCTGCTTCAATACGTAGTTTTTGCAGTTCAAATTCCATTTCATACTTTCGTTTTCGTTCCTCATATTCTTCTTTTCGTCTACGTTCTTCAATTTCTTCTTGACGTTTTCGTTCTTCAATTTCTTCTTGACGTTTTCGTTCTTCAGTTTCTTCTTTTTCCTTTCTTTCATTTATTATAATGTTTAACCATTCTTTGGCGCATTCTTCATCGTACTCTTTGCTAGCCAAAATTATCTTTTTCAAATCGCTCATTTTATGACTCTCATTTACATCTTCTCCCAATTCTTCAGCTAATATTCTTAAATCGCATTTCTTTGCCTTACCGAAAATAGATATTTTCGTACTTCATTCAAATGAAAATATATATATATATGCTATTAATTATTAACTTCCAATTAGACAACTTAGTAGAACACAGTTATTGGTATTTTATAAGTTTGATTGACGTTCTAAATATATTTAAAAATTTAAAGAAATGAAAATAATAAACTCTCTTTCCAAAATGATAAAAAAATAACAAAATTAAATTCTATAATAAATATGTTACATCAATTGGTGCTACTTTGGTAGACGGTTGCACGGATTTTTCTAATTTTTCTTTTGGCGAGTAATACGACTTATGGTAATCCCATCGCTGGATAAGTTATTTATGGTAACTGATACTTTGTTGTCATTTTATTTAAAAAATTACGCGTTTTATTATGCATAAATTCCGTGTTTTAAATATTATTTATGGCTTCTAAATATTAAAAATCAATTTAATTTTGCATTTTTATTTGAAATAAAAATTTTGTTGTTTATAATATTTTATATAATTTTATGTTGTGGATGATGTAATCAATGACGTCACCTTACTTAAAACGTAATTGGTTTTATTAATATCTATAAATTTAATCTAATGTTTTAAACATTATTTATGCCTGTTAAATATTAAAATACAATTTAATTTTGCATTTGATTTAAAAAGGATTTTATTATGAATGATTATTTAAATAATTTTAATTCTATGCGTAATGTAATCAGCTCCCTTATTGGATACTGAATATTTGTGCATTTCCGCGCCATTTTAAAATTTTATTATTCATCTCCTCGAATTCCTCAGATTTCAAACGGAATGGATATGTCCGTTTCGAAGATGAATGTTGTTATTGGTAATTATCAAGAATTATTGGTACCGGAATAAAAAATTTGACCTTTGAGACCTTATTTTGGCCAACCTGCCTTTCTTAATCAAAGATTTATTTATAAATTGTTAATAGCATCAGAGGAAATTTATTTTACATTTTTGGAGAAAACCTCGATTATTGCTTCTCCAATCAAGTGCGAGAGATGTGGATCACAGATGAAGATCGATTTCTTTTTCCTGAAACTTATCAATATACGACAGGTGTGTGTGTGTTTAATTATGGCAAAGCACGCTAGGGCTATCTGCCTGAGGGGAGGGATGCCTTTCGTGGAGGACTTTCTAAGGGAAACTGGCTCGTATACACGTTACACATGGGGAAAACCACGAAAACGCCCATGCAGCCAGCCCGTTCGCGGGATTCGAACCTCGGACCGAACTACCAGTGTTCAGCGTCTTTACCGCTCGGCCGCTGGTGGGCTCAATATACGACAGGTAAAATACTTTAAAAAAAATGTAAGTAAATAACTTTCTTTTACTTTATAATTGTATGCTTCAACTTTTATTAAAAAATTAATACAATGTTTTCAAAAATTTCTGAGATATTTATTGCCATATATGTTTTAATGTTAAATAATTAAATCCTATAAAACTTATTTTAAAGTATTTAAGTAATATTTTAATTCTTTTAAACGTAGGTATGATGTTTTTAATTCGATATTGAATTTAAGCAATATTTTAATCCAATTAAATGTTGTAGCAATGTTTTTATAGCGGTGTTTTTATTCTATTATATGAAAGTAATCATTTAACCTTACTTTAGCATTTTATACTCTTAGTAAATGTATTTATTTACATTTGCCAGCCATCTTAAAAAACAACGTTTTCAACGGAAAATTAATTCATTATTTTTAACGATATTTATTTCTTTAAAGTTTCTAATACTTTACTATATGCGTAAAATACGTAAAAACAGCATTTCTCAAGATGGCTGATGACTATAAAAACCGCGCCAACAATTGCGCCAATGTAAATCACCAAAAATCCGTGCAAACGTCTACCAAAGTAAAACCCATCAATTAATGCACATACCTTGAAATTCAAATTCTTTTCAATTTATTTACGTAATAGCAAATTCTTGTAGCTTTATGCTTAGGTTTCAGAATAATCCCACTTTTGATTTATGTTAACTTCCTTTTGTAGTTAAATTAATCACTCGTAAAATGGTTGTAAAAGACAAACATTTATTTGAAGATAAATCTTAATAACCTATACGTAACGTATTCGTAAACGTACATAACATAACAAACGTACTTACTGCATCGTACCGTTAAACATTTGAAGCGTACATCATCTGAAAGTATATTTTTAAAATTATAAATAGAACGACATCCAGAAATTAGCTGTTGCCATTTTTTCAATAGATATTTTGTCTAATAACAATTAAATACTTTACAATCGTTCTTACATGTAGACAGTTTTCTTTGAGAAACTGACTCATATTCATGTTAGATTGTAAGATTTTACTCTCTTCGCTGCCATGCAAGTGACTTAATCTTAGTAGTAAATTTTGGCGACTTCTCGCATAGGCGTGAAGAGTAACAACACAGGGAAAGGGTGTAAATTGCCCTCTTATTCCCAAACTCTTAAAAAAAAAAAAAAAAAAAAAAAAAAAAAAAAAAAATGCACGTAATTTGTGCTCACGAAGCAACTTAAGGTAAATTTAACAATAAATTTAAAAAGGGTAAAAAGTAGCGCTTAACTACACAATTTACCTAAAGCTAACAGGCTGACTCAACTACCTACACCGGCGATAGACTTAATAAACGGCCAGAATGCGTAGCCGCAACTAAGATTATCAGCTGGAGGACAGAATAACAACCTACGCTAACTAGCGAAATCACACACTGTCTAACCTTCTCGTTTCGCATATTTAAATACTTTCTTCACTTCACTGAATTTGCATCCTGGCGAGGAAACGTGAAGGGAAATAGGGAAAAGCCATGGGGATGCCGTTGCAGTCACTCTTTTCGCCACTATTCCTTCATTAGAGAATTGTATAACTATGTTTTACCGAAAACATTTAAATCCATAATATTTCATTAATTTCGAAATAAAACTGCCGTTTAAAACATTTTGTTTTTCATTCTGAAACTGTATTAAGTCTTTAATCGTATAAAAATGTGTTAAGTCTTTCCCACAGTTAACAAAAACATATATTTTAATAGAAAATATTCGTATGGGAGAAACATTTCTAACTCTTGTATTTGAGTTTATAATTACACTTATATATGGCTTGCTTTGAGAAAAGAATTTGAATGCGGTTGGTTCGCTGGAAATAAATTGTTATTAACTTCCCTTCAGTATAGACACTGTGCTTAATGTTATTTTATTCTGAGAACTGCCAAAAATTATGTCCCTGTTTTATTGAAAATGGTAGCCTAAAATGATGAACCATTTCTAATCTGCAATCTGATCTATTTAGTCACAATGGATGAATTATGAAAGTGGTCAAGAAAGGATAAATAAATCAGACCTTTTTAATACGTGATGATAGAAAGAAGGATAAATAATTATACTGAAATATAATCTGTATCTTCAGTGCTAAGATATATTTTGAATAAAATGAGATCTTCACCGAACATAATAGTAGGAATAAAAGCTGAGACATAATATTTATGTGTGCTGTTGTATCACAGTTGCAATAAATTATATTTCCAATACGAAGAAATCAAACGTAAGCTGCGGAGTTTAATCGGCACTCTTTTATTGCATAAAAAGTAAAAATTTCAGCAATCGTATTTTTGGAAGAAAATAACAACTTTGCAGAAAATCCAGAAAACATCAAATTTCGTCCACATGGCTGCGATGATTCATGGTCTGATTAAATTCTTTTTCTTTCTTTCCCCAGCCAGAAATTCATCAGTCATCCATTCCCTGTCATAGACAGTTTCCTCTCTAAAAGTATCCTCTAGAATGCTTGTCAAGGAAACCAAGCTGCTGCAGCTAGATGTAGGAGACTCCAGTCTAAGGACAAGGGGTTCCATTTTTCTGGTACAAACCACACTTAAAGAGCTCATGAGATATCGGAAAGCACCTGTTTTAGCAATACTGCCCCCAATATACGAGTATCCGTAAGTTTCCTTCACTTTAGAGAAAGCGATCACAATATACATGAGAAATAAAATATCGAGGAAAAACCAACCTATATAAAGTCGAGCAAAATTAAAAACTGCGATATTTAAGAGTGAAAGCAAATAAGAAGTTAGAACTCTCTTTTTAAAGCAGCTACCTTTATGAGCCTTTAAGTATGTTTGGAATTGGCACGTTACAGATTGGGCAACTATGCGTGGTGGCCACTTTAGCAAGAAAATACCAACAACTTTAATATGTCAATAAATATATTTACTATTACAATATTATTAAACTAATTAAATTAAATATGGCTAATAGGCGTATCAAAATAAAAACAAGGCCAGTTAAACTTTGACTCTTGAATAAATTGAGTCTTCATCGGTTTTTAATTAAATTTATGCATCAAACATTGTTATCCCTTCTGTATTTATGCATCGATGTCTGGTATTGCATCATGCTTGGAATACCCCTGGCTATCTTTTAATACAAGTACTTCTAGCGTCTTCTGTCGTTTGAACTGGGTGTCCTGTACTCAGCTGTTTGCTTCGTAACTACACAGTTTGATTCATAGTAAAAGTCTCGCTTACTTCACGTAAGCTCTTCAAGACTCACATATATCCCTCATGTAAGTTTTTCAAGACCAAAGAGACCAAGAAATTCCTAGGAATGTTAAGAAGAATATGTTGACAGTACGCTAGAAGGTAGAGCCTAACCTGAAATAGGCAGCCTTTAACATGAAATAGCACCTCAGCCTCTACAAGAGATCCAAGCAACGTCAGGTATATGAGCGCCAGACAAAAGCACCCAGACACCAACTGGTCACTGAAAGAAACAAAGACAACGTCAGTTCCTCCTGAGCTTGACCGACGGAAGTGAATCCCCGAGGACAGCCTTTGAAAATCTTCAATGTAGCGATCGCACAGCCTAAGACAGACTTGACAGTACTCGTACGGTCGAGCCTGAACGAACCACCAAAGACTCAGCAATAACACCAAAGACTCAGCAATAACACCAAAGACTCAGACTCTCTAATCCTGTGAAGACAATCTTTGCACCCCAGGTGCAGAGGTTGTCTAAGGACAGGTCAGAGCCAGCACGCAGAGGATTGCCCCCAGGTCGACCCCCGCAAGGGAGAGACTATGTTAATAATAGTTTTCGACGTGAGATGGGTTCGATGTGAGAGAACTCGTGCTACCCACATCAGAAAATCAATGCAGCGTTTTATAATATTTCTAGGCAATTGACAGAAGATATTTATCTCTTAAGATTTGGATTATGGAGAGATACGAAATGATTGCTTCATAAAAAGAATATTAAGGCACAATAGCTGTAATGCAAACGAAATTTTTTTTGATCCTTCGAGCCTTCTATTCGCCAAATTTAACAACCTGTGCATCTTTTGTTATAAACGAGGCCTCACGTGCAAACTGAAGAATTTGTTTTATACTTATTTAACTACTGTTTTACTCTTATTTAACTTAAGTAGTTTTGAAAATTCTTTTATCTTGCACTGTTTCCTTTATGCAACCTTACTTGAGCTGAAATCGAAGCTAATCACGTAGGAAAAAAATAATCGAATTTAACCAACTATCCTAAAATATAAAAAATAAGTGTTTCCAGGCTGCGTTATATTAATATCAAAATAAATATTCAGGTACGCTTATATTTGATTTGTCAAAATAATAGGAAATAAGATATTTTTGAAGTACAAGAGTTGCATTCATAATTCATTAAATAATAACCTTATAATAATTTTATTTCTCACAATAAAAGTTAAGTAATTTCTTTAGCTCAGTGTCTGGAGAGGCAACACTGTATCTGGAGAGGCAAACAGAATATTACTAGCATATATGATTTATTATCTTGATTTTTGAAGCTGTTGTTGCTCCAAATGATCTGACTTTTACAACTTCATACATTCGACGGGAATGGCCCTTCATGTCATTTAGCTTTCATGTCGCTCAGAACATTGTTCAAGTGTAACCAATACTATGACCGAATTACACCCGTGAGGAAAGAGAAAGTTTGGATGGAGAGTATCCCGGGGGGATCTGAGGGTCTACCCCCTCTTTCTATACCACCGAGCTTCACAAGAAGACTTTCGGCTAGCCAGTGTTTTAAGTTCCTTCATGTCGCACAAACACTATATTTTTTCAAACATCTAAGACTTCAGTGGACCTAATGATGCATTGCTAACCACTAACCACTATGCTGAAAAAGCGGCTGCTTATTTAAAGAAATTTAAAATATAATTATATAAAGTTACTAAATCCTGGTACTAATTCGTGATTATAAGCTTTACTTTTTGAATGGAATAATTAGACTAATTGTTTGATTCGTTTGAACAGCATTTGCACTAAGCATATATAATGATATTTTAAAGCTGACCTGCTTTGCTTACTTTTGCACCTGTCTAAGCCAGATGTCCCTTGAGATCATGAAATGAATTTTAAGTCTAGAAATATTTCTTACCTAATAACATCCATTTGATAGCTCGAGCATCTGTTGCAATGGGAGACATGCTAGGATTAGCTAAGAAGTTTTCATCAAAAGAATATTCGTCATAAGGTACGTAGGTCTCGATGTCTAGTTCTTCATCATTATCGTTTTGCGCCATTTCATTACCTGAACATGGTATCCATGTGTCAAGCACGTCTAGGATTATTGACAACCAAAGGGGAACAGCGACATCGTTTGGGAAACTGAGTTTGCCTGTAGAGAGTAATTCTTTTTCTGCTAATTTGGTATCTCTAAAACTATCATTAGATGATAATGTTAAAATTACTGGTTGGGGAATATTAAGGTTCGTGTATTCAGGGTAAATAAAAGCACTAGTAGTTAAATTTTCAGGTACATTCGAAGAGCCAAATGTCGCTAGGATATTCTCACCATCCTTCTTCTGTTGAGCATTTTGATCAAAAATATGGAATTTTTCATTTCGATCTTCTTCAATAATAAAATACCTTTGCGTAGAACTCATCAAATTATTTTTCATGAAATTCTCTAGGAGGCTGATGAGATTTGAAAGCGTTTCTTTCCTAGATTCGATGCTACTCTGTTTCACATTTGGTTCTTTCATCTTTCGAGAGACTTCAATATTTCGTTTTAGCATATCATAAATTTGTTTCTTGGGAGAACGCCGTTTCTTCCGTGAAAGATGATTTTCGGAAGAAGGTTGAAAATACCTGTGATTAATAATGCTAACGTTGTTCCGTTCCATTTGAGGGACGAAGAGATTTAATGGGTTATGACCAACTTGAATATCGTATTGCTTTTGCTGAGAAAGTTCTGGCTGCGTACGGCTCAAATTGTGACCCAAATTTAGTCCTTCCTCTGTTGCCGGATTTGTACAGTTTTCTTCCACATCAAATATTTTTAAAGAAGTGCTAAGAAATTCCGATTTTTGTGTTCCGAAGTGAAAGATGACTAAGATGAATCCTATGGAAAAACAAAATGCTGAGATTTTGATGGGAGAAGAAAACGGTTTGCTCATGCATTTCATACTTTTAAGGAATTGAAAACAATGAATTGTTGCCTAGTCAATGCTGCGAATGGGAGATTTTATTTATATTTAAAAGTTGTGTATCATAGTTGCCACTCAAAGCAAATTTCATTATCGAAATATTAAAAAACCATCAGTATTATATTTCTATAATAAAATTACTCTCTTTTTCTTATTATATACGCAACAAAGCCTAATGAAAGTGTTACCATTACAAAGATACTTTCGTAAATTACTGGAAAATGTTAATTATATTGCATAAAAACATAGTTTTTAATAATTAATAAAATTAATACTCTAATTTTCAGCTATCGTTGAAGTAATTGATGGCACGAGGCACAATAATCGTTCAGTAGCAAACATTCATTAAACGGTTATACTTCTGCACTAGAAGTATTACAAGAACTATTTGCAATGCCATTTACGGCAGCAAAAGTCAAGTATAATTTCTAATTTCTGAGGAAATACTGCTGTTGCTCTATTAAGGAATTAAATATGGGTTTCTTTTCGGAAGCGCCAAGCGTGAAGAGCAGAAAACAATTTTGATGTCTCACTAACAATTTCGCGAAAGATCAATAAAGATTCAAATGTAAAAAAAGGCAATTAATAATGAGATAAATGTAAAACAAAAAGCACATTTAGTTTGTTTAGTGATCTGTCGGCTACGGTTTTTAAAATTTTAATGCATTTTCAAAACGCAGTGGGGGGAGGAGGGGTTCTCCCTATTGTTTCTTTACTTCCTGTGTCGCATCATTTCAACAAAGTATACGGGTCCAAATAAATTTCAAACATCCCGATGATTATTTTTTATGCTTCGTAAGTTTTCTACATTCTTGGAAAATCAGCATTCGTATTTTGAAGCAACTAATTCATCCTTATTGTAACCGGCCCACCAGCGGCCGAGCGGTAAAGTCGATGAACACTCGTAGTTCGGGCCGAGGTTCGAATTCCGCGAACGGGCTGGCTGCATGGGCGTTTTCGTGGTTTTCCCCATGTGTAACGTGTATACGAGCCAGTTTCCCATAGAAAGTCCTCCACGAAGGCATCCCTCCCCTTAAACAGATAGATAGCTCTAGTGTGCTTTGCCATAATTAAATAAACCAAAACCAAACCTTATTGTAACCATGCAAGAACACTTCTTGTAACTTAGTTTTCATGAAAATTAAAAAGAATCTCAGATTCGGTTAATTAACCATTTATATGGAATTTCAGATATTTATGCATTAGCGTAAATGTCGAACATCTGTGCGAAAGGAAAAGCTGTCAGATCGAGCATTAGAAAATACTCCTTACATTTTAAACGTTAATTAAAGGGTCCAGTAACAGTTTCAAAAATGTATACTGAAAAAAAAGGGGGGGGACAGTTCTATATATCCCGTTCTATTGGCCGATTGACGAAATTCAACTTGCGTTTTTCATATCTCTAGATACTAGATTTATATATAGCACTGTTTCTAATATAGGTATTTTGACAGAAAATCGGACTTCTATGATATGACATGTCGATTTTTTCCAATATCTTCTACGACTCAATATATGCCAAAATGCCAAGTTTCGTAAAAATCGCAAGATTAGTTTTTAAAAAATTAGCTTGCAAAATTTTAGCTCTTCAGTGTTAATTGAATTTGGTATATATTTATTAATCTCTGTTTTTTCTATTAAACTTATTTTAGTCTTCCTTTCACATTTGTAAATTTAGGTTCCTTCGAAATAAAATTTGACCATTTTTTATGATTTATTTTTAAAATTTGTATTTTTTAATAATTTTTATAAATTTTTCGAAAAACATTTAGAATTATAACCTATAAAATTTTTACCATCACCTTAAAGTAGATGTATTTCTAAGTATACCTAAAAAAAAATTAGAGTTTTTATTCAAAATTTCCGAAGATTACGTGATTTTGTATATTGGCACGTTTTGAAATTTGGCATATTTGTTGAAAGCGATAAAACATCTAATGTGGTTTAGGCACTTTGTTAAAATTATTTCAAAGTAGGAACGGAGTGAATTTTTATCCCTTATGGACAATGTAAAAAGGAAAAGGAAAATAGGTTGCCATAAATTAGGAAGTTCGCCAAGTGAATTATACTTGGCGCAAACTGAAAAAAGTACGCCAAGATAAATTTTTGAATTACTCCTTAAATTCCGTACCAAATTTTACTAAATTTAATATTTAGGGATGATTTGAGTCGTAGAATCGAAATATAGAAAAAAAAAAAAAAAAAAAAAAAAAAAAAAGGCATGTCATTTTAGAAAAAGTCCCATTTTGTGTCAAAATAGCTAAGTTAGAGCAATGCTATATATAAATCTAACATATATCTTAAGTCGCGCTTTCGAGACATAGAAAATGCAATTTGGATTTCGTTAATCGGTCCAATAGAACGGGAGATGTAGAACTGTCCCCCCCTTTTTTTTTTGCGCAGTGTACAAATATCTTCTGTAAAGATGTGGTCGTTTTAGGTGTAACAGAACTTGTTACGGGACGAACATGCCTTAGTCAACAACATCATAGTTTAATGAAGCATAGAACTATAAGACGACATGAAATGGATCAAAGATCTACACAAAAGTTAAGCCACCTATAGCGTGTTATTTCAAGGCTTTAAAAGAGGCTTGTATAGAGTGGAAATATCAATTAACGTTTGAGAGCAGGATGCCCCGAAATTCCAATGCTATGATAAAATTATTATTTATCACTAACTACCAGACGTCAATCTACTTTCTTAATACGTACACATTGTTTTTAACTTATATTTATAACTAAATGTGATATAATGTTTTTGATTCTAAAAACGAAGCTGATTATGATATCTTTTCAGGCAGCTCAGAGAAAAGCTGTCAAGGTACTTGTGGACGCTGAATATACATATTTGAACCCTGGTATGAGTGCCCTCACACTGGCTGCTGTGGCTGTTTTTAATCGAGATTCACCGATTATATGGAATACTTATCAGTGTTATTTAAAAGCAAGTAAAATTTATTTATTCTTTTGTTTATATTTTGTTTTTTATTTTATCCTTCTTTACTTCAGTTTAATTACTAATGTTTCTTGAACCCCCCCCCAAATGGCTTAACTTAGATTAAGTAAGTTCGACCAAATTTCAAAAGATTATAATGTAATCTGTAACCTAAAACAAAAATCATCTTTGTTTCTTAATTTCTTAACTTCTTTTTAAATCTTTTAGTCTTTTTTCAATAAATTACAATATTTTTAAATGCATAGCTGTTTAATAATACTTATTTTATTTTATTTTTCGTTTACTTTCAATATAACTATAAATAATTACAGATTGGCTTAAGATAAAACAAACCCAAACCAAGTGAAGATCACATGAACTGTAGGACGTTATTATACAAGTAGATAAAAGACAAAAGCATATTTACGAGGATTTTTTCGTCTTTATAAGAACTGCTGAAAATATTGGCCGTCATGGTCCAGGCGCAGTTTGTGCCGATAAAACATGTTCAGTGTGACTTGCTCGTTAGATGTTGGAGATGGCTTTGCGTATCAGTGTTCAAGACTTCGTAGATTCTTGAACTTTCGTAGATTCTTGAACGTTTTGTTTCAGTGCGTCAAGAGTTTGTAGATTGCCCTAGTAAACCTTGCCCTTCATGTTGCCTCTCAAATAAAATAACTGTTGAGTAGATTAGATTAGGTGACCGTGGAAGTTATAGATCCTTCGAGAAAGTCCTTTCAGGTGTAAAAACTGAGTGCACTGTTTTCAAGAAGACCTGCACTGATTATTCTAGTAAACCTTGCCCTTCATTATGCCCATGAAACAGAATAATCGTTGAATAGATTAGGTTACCAGGAGGTTATAGATCCTTCGAGACGGTCCTCTTAGGTGTAAAAACTGAGTGCCTGCACTATTGCGTCGTCTTACCGCCGAATGGACTACCGCCTTTCCGTTTCTCTTTTGCCATATCCGGTTAAGTTTATCTTGGACAACCTCGTGTAAAACACCGAAAGCAAAATAATGCATAACAGGTAAATACTGTAGAAATGTGTAGAAAATTGTTGATGTGATTTTATCGTGGACAAGAGCACAAAATTTGGACCTTTCACGATAAAATTCAAGTGAGCCTTATGAATAAGTCATCTGGATACATGGGGCTTATGCACCTTATAAGGGACAGTAGGAATTCGCCCAACTCCGTCCCACGTGGGAACACTACTAAAGATGACCACCGAGCTCAGAACTTGACGAGGTTGTCGATTTATTTATCACCTTGGCAGATGCCATCTACTCTACTCCCTACACCAGTCCAAGGATACACCTAGCAAATCAGGCGGCAACACACAAATCCGACGGTTACTCCACTAAACTCAACATTTTACATTAAATTGATCTCATGCTTAATTTATAAACATCATTGCAAATTCATATTAAGAGAATGTGGAGCATGAACAAATTTTGAATTCAGCGGTAAATAAAACCCCGTTTGAAGGTTTGCCATAATGAAGCCACGTCGATAATAAAAGTAGCTACATTTGGCCTTTTATCTTCATTTCGGAATTTTAAACTTAATAATAATAGGTACCTCACTCTGGAATTATGTCTGTAGACCAGTTCTCAATCAGAGGTTCAGGGTTCTCAATCAGAGGGGAATTTGATAGTTTCAGGAGAGGGAATGCCGTCAGCCGTTTATTTACCTATCAGGATCTAGGGTCAGTCCATAAGTTCATGCTCATTAAGAGTATGCGTGGAATTCATTATGCTGCATTTACTAAAACAATACAATTTTGAACCTGTTGAAACTTGTCATCGTTTGACTAACATATTATTCAGTTCATCACCAACTCTTGTAAATATCGAGCACATTTTAGTACCCATAGAAGATGAATATAGATAACAGTAAAAACGTGCTGTACTACATTTTTTTTATTTTCATGGGGTGAATCTTCCATGTTTGCAGCGATAAAAATTAATAGTGTACATGGTGAACACACTACTAGCGTAAGGACTGCGCCAGAAATGATTACTAGCGCCAGAAATGATTTTAAAAATTTTAAGTTTGAAAAAGCAGCATTGATGATGAACCCCTTTCAGGACGTTTTGAGCTGTTAGAACCAAATCAAGCGATTAATTCAGAAGTTTATAGTATAATACTTCTAAACTCAGGATTGATCAAAAAACGCCCACGATTGGCATCAAGAAAGTGTTGTTTCATCATGATAACGCTAGACCGCATACGGCTCGAACAACGCCGCAAAAAATTAGTGAATTTAAATGGAACCTTTCGCCACATCCTGCTTACTCCCCAGGTATTGCCCCAAGTGATTTTCCTTATTTCGTGCATTACAAAATTTTTCACTGGGAAAACTGAGAAATGAATTGTGGCTTAGAATATTCCATTTCACTCAAATGAAATAATTATTATTCAAATAAAAACTTTCATATATTATTTTTAGAACGCACGATGTAAAGTAGAAGAGGAAATGAAAATCATTCTAGAAGATTTCGGCTGTCATTTTGGAGCTAAAGTCGTCCGCGGAGCATATATGGTGCAAGAAATGAATCGAGCTGAGAAATTCCAGATTGAATCCCCAGTTTGTGAGAGTTATGCTGCAACTTCTGAAACTTATGACTAGTTAGTAAATAATGGTTAATAATTTGCTTTTAGTTTTTCGTTTAATTGCATTGACTCATGATTGACAATTAAACTAGTCATATTTACATTAAATAACTGTCTAACTAATCACATGTATATAAAAGTGTGTATCACAGACGATATAACAACATCATACCCAGTCACAGAAAAATGGTGTGCCTAATTAAAGCTGTGTGAAAAATAATAACATTGTTCATATTATAAATACGCTTGTGTTAGAAAAAGAAATTATATAAAACATTTATTTCATAGTCGCTAACTCCTGGATCCTATGGCGCGAAAACCGGGAATTTCTGGAAGGTATTTGGCGAAGCCAATTCAAAATAACTCCAAGTTGACCTAAATTCACTTTATAATGCATGATTCAGATTACTGAACTATTCATATTGTGACGAAGTATTTGAGCATTCTGACGAGAATGTTTGTATTTTAACATTTGCATGCAGTATCCATGTTTGCTGCGCTGTACCAGTGCGCAATCTTTATAGCGCGAGTATAAACACTTGAACGTATCGCCAAGAGACGTTAATGCTCAGTAGCCGAGCGAACCTGTCTCTTCATTTGAACGAGATAGCGAGTTCGATCCCAGGTCGTACTCTTTCCGGATTCGTCGGCTCCTATCTTGGTGACATCATCAATTGAGTTCCATCTATTTTACTTACATTACATAGTGCTTCCCTTCGCACAATATTTCTCAGATTAGGACCTGAAATTTTACCCAATGAGATATGTGACCCATTATCCATGTGAGGTTTTCCCTGATCGGGGTATCTGAGGTGCCTGTAATAGCGGGATAAAGTTCCTGTTGACACAGGCCTACCCAACGGTATCAAAGTATCGAGAGACTCAAATAATATATTGTGTTGTAAATGTGATCTCACCTTACATTGTAGTAAACTGACTCCTGCACCCGAAATCCTCATCTATTGCTACCCCAATGCTAATTGCTATTCTCACGAAAGAATGCTGATTGTTTACCTAATTTAAACTCACATGCACAACTGCTTGCTTGACTTTGCCATTACCGATTCTTTCGTCATCGGGTGTGGTGCATAATACCTTAATTTTTATAATTACCATGAAAGGCCTTAGGGAGCATTTTGATTTACTGGCAAAACCTCAAAGTAGTTCATGCCAGCAGCAAAGTGATGATCCATGATTCATCCATTCGAGAAACTCACTTGTACTTCACTGTTTCTGGTTGTTCGTGGCCGACATTTAACGTCGGCTTATCATCATGTATTTAATTTCTTAATTTACCTTTCAATTTTAAATAAAATTAATTTTATGCTTTACTAAAGTCTTTGAATTTCCTTTTAATGAACCTTGATATGTTTGAATTATCATGGCATTAAACCATTGCCACAATATCTTAATTCATAAGCTTAATACTGTTGCGTGCGTACGGGTTCGTAATTGATTGAATGCACAAGTCGATGAAAAGTGAATAAAATTTATTCTTATCGCAACAAATAAGACAAAAATGCTGAGGTTTCCTCAGAGATATTCGTACAACATCGCAATATCTCACGGTAGTTATATTTTAAATTACTAAAACGTTGAATAGATCTCAGTTCCAAAATGCAACCCGATCTTACCGCGAATTCGCTACCATCAATAACAAGAACTAAATAAACAGCTGCTAAACAACTGAATTGAGATGTTTTCCTCAAACTTTTATAAGCTTTTTAATTCTGAACGAGAATATTCTGGTATTTTCTCGATTTTTATGGATATCAAAAGAGTACAATTACGAGATATCTATTTATTAAAATGTTAAATGAACCTGCTCCTGTATTTTAATTTTTCCGGCTTAGCTTTCTCTCCAAATAAATGCTAATAATAATAAATTCCCGTGCTGCATTGCACGGGAATATAAAACAATTTTAATTACAAATTCTACTAAAAATAGCTAAATAAATACAAAAACCGTAACAATACTTAATTTGATATTCCTAGTTTTAAGTTAAAATTTTACATTCTTTGGCTCATTTCATTTTGTAATTTTCTTTCCGTCTGATATTGAGAAAATCCGTATAGGGAAAGAAAGCTTTGATATATCAAAGTACTTTTAAATAATATGAAAATAAAATTAACGCTTCATATACATACTACACTGACTACCAATAAGTATTTGGACACCTATGCAAATGACGACATCTGCGGTCCTAAGGTATATCACGGACTCCGCCGGTATATATCGTGTAGGAAACAGCATCGGCTTTAGTTGCATGCAAGATGCCTCGCAGTTAGGAGCTCTCTGATTTCGAGAAAGGTATAATTATCGGGTATCACAAATGTGGCCGATCCTTAAGGGCCATATCTAGCCATCTGAAGTACCCAAAATCGACAGTGGCCTATGTGATTAAGAAGTGGAAGGTTATCGGTGATTGTCGGAATGTGCCCAGAGTCGGTAGACCAACGAAACTGGGAGATAGAGACCGACGAGTGCTGTCCAGAGAAATTCGGAAGAACCGCACCCAGCCGATGGCCCTCATCCGCGAGGAGTTTCAACAGGCATCCGGGAGTATTGTTTCAATGAATACCATCCGTAAGGAAGCACATCTGCTTGGTTTTCATGGTCGTGCTGCTGCCCACAAAGTCCAACCGCTCTGCTCGGTTAATGTGCTGCAAAGCACTTCGAAATTGGACCGTAGATCAGTGGAAACAGGTTCTTTGGAGTAAAGAATCAAGGTTCACCCTTTACCGTTCGGATGGCAGGGCCTGGGTCTGGCGTCTACCTGCAGAACGTCTCCTGCCAGAATGCATTGTGCCAACAGTCAAGTTCGGCGGAGGTGGAATTATGGTCTGGGGGTGTTTCTCCTGGTATGGGCTGGGACCTTTGGTCCCCATTCATGGTAACCTCAACTCCGATGCCTACTGCACTATTTTGGATGACAATGTGCTTCCTACGTTGTGGCGGTTTTACGGATTGGACCCTTGTTACTTTCAGGACGACAATGCTAGTTGTCATGTTTCGACGTTAACCACGGCTTGGTATGATGCCAATGGAGTTCATCGAATGGACTGGCCTGCCCAGAGTCCAGACTTGAACCCTATCGAGAACCTCTGAAACGAGTTACATCGCTGAATTCAGGGGTGCACTACCCATGCAAAATCGGTGAAGGAACTTCTATGTCTTCTCCAAGCCGAGTGGAAGAAAATACCACTAGCTGTCATACAAAGACTTGTGGAAAGTATGCCCTGGAAGGTCCACGCTGTAATTACCTCTCGTGGAGGCTCTACCAACTATTGATTTTGAATAAAGTTACTTTTTCTTTTCTATCACAGGTGTCCAAATACTTATTGTTAGTCAGTGTATTGTGTGGATAAACTTAATAATGTGTCAGTTATTGATGTAAAATAAACTAAATATTAAACACTGGGTGAATCTTAAACTGTTTAAATAAATTTTACAGATTTGTGGTATTATTTGATCGTTTAAAAATTTTAAAATTATATTTTGGTTCTTTAATGCCCTTCTAGTGTTATTTCGTTTCTTCTGAACAAGAATTCGCAGTTAGGATTGAAATGTCAATTTATCATTGCAAGTCATAATGAAGAAAGTATCAAATTAGCAGTGAAACGGTAATTATAACTCTCTTATAATTTTCCTTTTTATTTCCTATTCTAGAACTTTTAAATTTTGTAGCTAATAACATGAAACTAGCTCAAGATCTCTATAGTGTCATGTCTGATATATCATTAAAATACTCTGAATTCCCTATTTCTGAAAAAAAAAATTAATTAAAAAAATATAGGAAATATGATATAAAGTTATGTATGGAAAACTTAATGTTACAACATTTTAGAGATACATGGGAGACATTAATAAGCTCCCGATTTAGGAATGTATTATGTGTGATGTATAAGCTCTCGATTTAGGGGTGTTCGAGAGCAGTTAAAATGGATATTTTCGTAGAAATATGATACCCGAAATTTTTCGCGATTACAATACTTCCTTCACTTCGTACAAGGAAGTAAAACTAACGGTTTATACATTTGGCATGGCAATTAAATTAATATTGTTGAGTGCGTACGGGTTTGTTTTAGAATGAATGCACACAGGTCCGATTATAAATTATTAAAATTTATTTTTATCAAAAAATGTATTTCAGAGCTCTGAAATTTCCACAGAAATATTCGTACAAGTGTCCACAATATGACACGGTACAATCAGTAGTTATACTTCAAACAACTAAGGACGTTAAACACAATGCAATGCAAAGCGCATCTAAAGAATAAGCTAACTCGGATATCTCAGTTCCCGCGGAATTCCCAACAACAATAATTAAGCAACTGAGAGCAGATGCTCTCTCTTCGGCCTTAAGTAGTTTTCAACTGGCCGCTGAGATATTTCTAGTACTTTCTGCTTCTCGAAATTACTGGAAAGAAATATAAAGGTGGAATTACGATTACGGCTAACATAGTGGTCAATTTCATTGATTCAATTTCAATACACATTGCGATAATACAAGGCTCGGACCAAAATGTCGCCAAACTGGGTGATTTTTGGCGATTTGTCGCCAAATGACCGAGAAACCCTTTATTAAGTGTTAAATGCACTCGCTCCTGGATTCTTACTTTCTTACTTCTGTTTAAATTTTTCACGTTATAAAAGAAATACAACAGTTTTACTTAGAATATTACTAAAATTACCTATCTAAATACAAAATACGTAACAATATAATATTTTATTATTTAGGCTCTCCACGCTTTTATTATTTGCCATATAAAATTGCAGATGATTTCTGTAAATAGAACCACTTAATCTATTATTCCCGTTAAACTATGTGATATGGATATGGATATGGAGAAATGTGGTGGATACCCATTGTTTAACCATTGGCAATGTGGGTATTGTCCAGCCACACTAGATATCCAGATAAATTACACCCCACAGGACTTACAGGGGATCCTGCCAGGCGTTGCTTGCAATGCTTTGTGTTTAACCAGAATGCGGGCAATGCCTTTCTTTTCCCCTTAAATATACATTGGTGTTTTTACAGTTGGTGCATTTCGCACTTACATGCTTTGGAGGGCAACTCTAGGTCTGCTTGCATACTATGTTTTAAGTAATAGCTTTGTTATATTATTCTAGGTTGTGCTGCATAGCTAAGTGCCTCTTGTGGACAGGAAGCTCATTCATTGATTAATTACGATTTTTTTTTCGGAGATGGATGTTCTTGATAGCGTATCTAATAAAGGGAGCCACTTCACTCTCTGAATTCGGGACTTTTAGATGATGTTCATCTGTAAGGGGGCATTTGAATATATAATGGTCGGGACTGCCTCTTTCTCCACATACACATTGATCTGAAGTTGCTAGTTTCCTTGCTTAGAAGTACGTGGGAGAAGAGCATTGCCCTGATAAGAACCACGTTATTTCTCTAGTTATTAAACTGGGAGCTGTGCCTACTTTTGGGAACAACTGATAAGTCCTTCTTCCTTGTTCGGCATTGTCCCATCAGTTCTGCCATTCAGCTTTAGATTTGATCTTTTGATCTGAAGATTTTTTTAAGGTGCGAACCAGGCCATGGTACTGATAAATTTTGTGCATTTGACCCCTAGGTGCTTCTTTGGCTAGGATGTCAGCCTCCTCGTTGCCAGTTGTCTCTGCATGTACCTTCAGCCAAGTGACAAAGAAGTGTTGATTTTGTTATGCTGAAGTTCTTTCTGTAATCTCCTGGATTAATTTTGACCTGTGGCGCGGGTTTGCAATTGCATGCATCGCTGAAAGTCTATCTGTAAAGATATGTGCTGCTTTTAGGGAGTTTGTGATGCTGTATTTTATTGCTTCAAGGAGCGCTACTGATTCCGCTTGGAATACACTATTTTGTTGTTCTAGGTGGAACTTCTGTTCTGTTGTCGAATTGGGATCTAGGTATGTGATAAATTATGTGATAACTATGTGAAGTGATAAATTATTTTTCTCCTTTTAGCGCATTAATTATTATATCCATTTTAAGCAAAAGTTTACTGTATAAAAACATTTTTAATTCTTTGCATGAAGTAAAGGAAGTATTGTAATCGCGAAAATTTTCGGGTATCAAATTATTTAAATGGAAATATCCACTTTGACCGCTCGCGAATCCATTTGAATGATGTTTTTGCATGACATGTGTACGTACAGTCAGAATAAAGGACTCTTTTTCCCAAAACGGATTGTAAAATGGATTTATAGATTTAGAAGAGATTTTTTCCGTGACGTCTGTACGTACGGACGCACGTTATCTTGCATAACTCAAAAACGAATAGCCATAGAAGGTTTAAATTTTGTATTTAGGACTGCTATAACATGTAGTTGTGCACCTCACGTTTTAGTCGCAATGAGCAGCACCAAAATTATATAAATAAGTATATATAGATAGATATATAAATATGCACCCACTCTGTTACCCGGCTCGGTGAACTGAGTTTTTGTTTCTTATATGTTGGTAAATTGTGCATTATTTGCTTTAAAAGTGATTGAATTATGTCGTTCTTATATTACCGTTAAGGTTTTTATGCCGTCAATTAATTTGCATGCAATATTTGTAGAATTATCAACAATTTTAAAAGCTGCGTAAGTGCTTCTAAACCTGAAGAAGTCACCATTTATTTTCATTTGGATCTCTTAGTAGAATAGTGAATTAAATCAGTTTCTGCACCAATTTCAGTGTCTGCCGAATGGTACCAAAAGTAAGCTTTCAGTTTTGTGCACCGAAAAATCTGTCTTCTTATCCGCTGGCTAAATGGCTTGTTTTTGGGTATAAACTCTAATTTAACTTGTAAAAAAAATTTAACTGTTTTTAACTGTATTTGGCGTTTTTTCTCCTGTATTTTACAATTTTGGATGAAAGTGTTTTGAATTTGTATGTATTTTTGCCTTGCTCCGAAGTGATAACTGAATTAATTGAATGAGAAACATGTCTCTGAAATTCGAAGAAATAAATTTAAATGAAATGCAGGAAAAAGTGCATATAAATTAATATTCCGTACAAGGAAGACATGTGTTAATACACATCGTTTTCTGTATTTCATTGCCACTTTTTAAGTATTAAAAAAATTAAATACAGTTTTACTGAATTTTACATAGTACCGTATCCATTTACTTCCTACATTCTAGTTCAGAGTCCGTGAAACTATTTTCATTATATATGACAAAATAGTAAGTCGGAATATAGGCAAAAAATTATCAGAAATTAAGAAAAACAACCCGAAATAGAGTGACATTAAAATTACAGTTTTATGAAAAATATTGATTTTTAACGGTTTATAGGTAAAAATGTTTCTTCTAAAATTATATTTATTGAAAAAGAGAAAAGAAAAAGAGAAAAAACTGGGGAAGCCCATTTCGATTTATTTCTAAAAATATATAGTTAAAATGTGAGTTTATCTCACTTCTAGGCGGATCTGTTAAAGAAAAGATTCTGAATGATATTAAAAATGCAAATGATTTTAGTATCGTCTTTGAGAACCCACCCGATATCTCACACATAGATTAAATTAGTAAAATCATTTGTTACATTCACATAGAAAAGAGAAATGTAGAAGCAGTCTTTCTAGCGTAGTTTCAACAAACTGGAGAGAAAGCCGTTGACATAACGGAAAAAAGTTTTAAAGTTATTGAATACGATAGGCTAGATATAAATATGTGCCGAGGACAAGGATACAACAATGCTTCTACAATGACTGGAATGCGTTCAGGGATTCATGCAAGGATTTGTGAACTTAATGCTAAAGCATTGTTTGTTCTCTGCGCAAACCATTTTGCCAATCTGTGCCGAGTACACTGTTTTGCAAAAATTATAAGATATTTCTCAGGCCTTCTTGGCATGCCTTCGTGGTATAGTGGTCAGCACACTCGGCACGTATTCGAGAGGTCCTTGATTTGAGTTCCCGCGAGGGCATTGCTTTCATTTCTCCTGTTTCCAAATAGGCTAATATCTTTACACAGTTCCCACTATGAGTGGTTTTTTTTTTGGGGGGGGGAGGACGAACTTTAAATTAGTTTGTATTTTTTTAGCTTCTACTCACATATAGAAGATCCTTAATAACAAATGTTGGAATTAGAACTAGACGACTTTCAAAAGCAAGATGGAGTGCTCACTACGAAGTTGTTTAGCCTGTGTTTAAGTGTTTTAAGAAGATTGTCGATGCCATATGATGATGATGTATGATACTTCGGAAACTATCAAAACCAGAGAATCAGCTTAAACTTCTGTTGTTTAGAATGCATGACTTTTCGTTTTTGTGCTTTTTACGCTTATGGAATACTGCCTTAGAAGAAATAAAATACGCTCAAAGGTATTTACAGTGGAATCTGCTTCGTCTAAAAATCTTTTTAAAAACAAAAGACATTACCTCTTTTGAGCAAGCACTGCGACTACAGAGGCACATGTGAAAGAATGGGCAGTTCTGTGGTATAAAAAAAGAACTGTCAGGAAAAAGAAAATTATATCTGGAAAGACGCTTGCAGAAGAGTCGCTGACTTTGCACCAAGAACTGAAAAGATCAATGTTAGAGTGCATTGACTGGTTTCAATAAAAAAAATCGATACACATTGCAAAGCCGTGAAACATAAATCAGATTGGTTTGCTGTCTTAGAGCCCAGAAATCGGATCAAAATCTAATGAAAACATAGCTGAAATTGAACTTTCCAAGTTTGTAAAAGGACTGGTTCAAAATTACGAAGAGCTTTCTAGATATGGCATCTTTACAGAAATTCCCAAGCCTAAGAAGATTTCTACACGAAGAAGTCTCTTTGTTGGACTTCCATAAGATTAAGAGTTCGTTGTTGAATATGAACTTTCCGAATCTGTTCCCAACTTCACTTTAGTGTTAAGATTTTTCTTAATTTTGCACGTTTCTGTAGCATCACATGAAAAAATTTTATCGAAACTTGGACTAATTAAGAATTACCTTATGTCCAATCGAGCAAAGCCCGACTCTCTAATTTGGTCATTTTATCAACAGAAAATAGTGCAGCTAAAAGCATCAATTTGGATGACGCAGTTTCAAAATTTGCAGCAGAAAAAGTTAGAAGAATAAGAAGAAAAAAGAAGAAAAAGTTAGATTCTAAGTTTCATGTTAAAGGTAATTGTTATTACGAAATCCTTTGTTTGCACTGAACTGCTACATTAATAACCAGTTAAACAGTTTTATGAATAAAAAGGTTTGTTACTTATTTTTTGTCATTCATAAAAAAATTATTTAGAAAATAGTTAATGTAACACTCTGTTTGCTTAACCAATTGAGTCAAAAAATTTCTTTCTCAATAAATTTCATTTAATATTTTAGTGTGCATGAAAAGATGACAAGTTAAAACTCCGCACCGGGTGCTACACGACGTAGCTACCGTCACTGCGTGAAAGTTCTAGGTAGAAGTTATTATGATGCAAGTCGGCATCCTAACATGTTCTACCGGATTTAAATCTGGAGAATATGCAAGTCATTTTTAGAACTAAAAATTTATAATCTACTTGTGTTAAAACACTTTAGATGTACCGTACGTAACAAAATTAAAAATTAAAGAATGTTACACACAGATAAATTACGAAAGAATGTCGCTGAATGACATTAAAGAGACAAAATCGACAGCGAATTATTTTAACTTATTTTTTAATCGAACCCAAGCAAGCCAGGGAGGATGTCAAAAATCTCAAATTTTGAAGTTAAATTGCTCGGTCAATTTTTGTCGTATACAGCAGTGAAATTTTTTTATCGTACGAGAGCGAACGTTCATTTAAATAATGAGTATACACGTTTACTAAACATGATTATAGGAATCGGGGCTGCATAGGAAGCTAGATTTCCTAATTTTTGCAAATTTAAAAATGCAAAAGAATAAACATTTTTGTTATTAGAAATTTCATAATTTTTACAAAATTGATTTTTAAAATTTAAAAATGCGAAAAAAATTAATATTTATATCAATTAATTTTTTTTAAGTAGAAGTAATATTCTGCGATCACTGGTTGTCGAAATAAAAGCTCATGAAGATTTTTATACTATATTATATTTTTTAAAATCCAAAACTTTTTAACTTATTCAAAATTTCAAAATCCGAAATTTTTAATTTACGCAGCATGAGGCTTTTCTTTTCTATTCGTTAGCTGTATATTAATAAATGGTTTGATTACATCAGTTGTGTATAAACTTATAACGTTGCGCGCCTCTAACTAGCACGCAACCAAGAGGTGACTGTGAAAGCTTGTATAAACCACAGAGTCTTATAAAGGGTTTAAGTCCCTTTTTATTCAACGTAATAAATTACAATGGCGTCCTCTTGACGCTTACAGACTGTGCCCACTAGGCAGTCAAATAAAAATAAGAACCTGAAAAGAAAGTAAAGACAATATTCTAACTACGAGGCTCTCTAAAATAACTAACTCACCGCGTTTTACAAATACCGCAGCTAATTCAGCAGACTTGAAGCTCACTGGAACAATTGCAACTACTTCCCGCCAAGCACATAGGCCGCAACGCGGGGTTCTTCAATTCTCGATAACTACCTCCGCGCTCGCTAAGTAAGAATAACTCTCTCACCGAACTCGTTTCCTTCTATTTAAACCATAATACTTCCGCTGATAATTTGAATCCTTGCGCGTTCTACTCAAATTTACATATTCTGGCATTGGCAGTTCCAGGGGAAAGTAAGGCTTGACAGGAAAGATAGTTTAAACTTAAAATAAATGTTAGTTAAAATAAATATAAACCCTACAAACTCAAATTAAAAAATGATGGCAATGCGAAAAATTTTAAATTGTCTACATGGACAGTTAAGATAGCGACACCTTGGGCTGACAGTTTAATAAGCACAAATTCTGTTTAATGCTCTAAGTTAAAGAAAATACATTATGTAAATATATGACCAGGTTGTATCTATAAGTTTTATGTGAAAAAAAAGCGAATTTCGAGTTAAAACTCTCATTCCATCCTTAAGATATCTCGTTAGATATAGGTATGTGTTCCAAATTTGAAGCATTCTTAATCACAAGTCTTTGGATAAGTAATATTCAACTTATATTTTAATTCCTAATTATTTTCCAAATGTTGTAATTGTCATTCGAAAAATGTAAACATGATACATAATTAATAGTTATTCATTATCTGTTCTCTCTCTTTTTTTTCTCTTTTAGAATGACTGAATTAAAAATTGACAGACAGGCTGGTGGAGTTTGCTTTGGACAATTATATGGGATGTGTGATTACATATCTAATCCCTTAGGTATGACTTTATTTACTCTAAATATGAATAATTAGATATGATTTCAGAACGCACGTTGTTTTGTAACACCTATTAAATTATTAACTATTTTAAACTGAAATGAATTTACGTAGCAAATCTAGGTTCATTATCAAGGACCCTTTTTCTAGTAAATTAATTGGTTAAAAATATCAGCCTTTTGTTTTAAGTGCAATTACCCTAAAATAAAACTTAACGTTAGAAAAAACAGCAACCTTGTATATTTGGCGTAGATTGGCGCCAAACACAAAATTATTGTTTTCTCTAACGTTAAGTTTTACTTTGGCGTGTTTCTCTTCTTTCTTACTAATTATTAGATTGTGTAAATTGTGCGAACATTATATATATATATATATATATATAATTTATCAAGCAAAGCAGTAAAAAGCTATCGACCGCTTCAAGCTATCGCCCGCTAGCTTGAAGAATTACGACTTTTAACATATTACTGTTTTTTCCTTTTTCTCTTGCTTTCATGCAAGTTTTATAGTTTTAGCTGAATTTTGCCATTTTCACTTCAAAAATTTTTTCATCCTCTACAAGCCAAGCGCCATTTTTGAGCTCTTAACACGATTCACGAGGTTTCCGGCCCCCTCCGATAATAGGAGAGACGACATAGAACGAAATCACTTCGCATTGGCTAAACGCCACAACTCTTCGCTCCCCCTAACTACGTCATCCAAAAATAAGACGCTAAAGTTAGCAGCCCATTTTTACATGTTTTCAGAGGGACAGCTTTAATCGCCAAGGTCAGTTTTTGTTCTTTTGTTACAACTTTTTTTGGTCTTAGCAAGACCCACTGAGTTGTTCTTTTCTCAATTTTTTAAATTTTTATTGATTATTAACTACAGGTTTTCTTACAGTTTTATAAAATTACAATTTGAAATTAAATCTTAAGCTTGGCCCAGCCCGAATGTATTTGTTTTTTAGAACTAATAGCTCATCGCTATTTATTTTCGTTTGATTTAATTTTAGACTAGATTTAGAAGTTTGATTTGATTACATATTTTAAACCTTAATGTTCTTCTAAGCGGACGCGTCGGGAAATTGGAACAGAGAATTGGGACTATTAAAATTTCCAAGACACTTGTCAAAAAATTTTTTAGCGTAAAAGTTTCAATTGTTGTTTCGGCGAAACGCGTAATGGGGTTAGCTTGATTCGACGTTCAACAATGAAATTCCCTTGAAAAGCCTGTTTGGATCGAAGGGCTAATTTACCATTTCCGCTTACTTTTAACTTTTTGTTATTTATTTTATTGTCTTTATGTTTACATGTCTAATGATTTGCTTTTCATGTGTATGATTTTTGAAAACGTCTTTAACCTTTTGGAGCGACAGCTCTTGGTAACTTTAGGCGAGCTTTCTACATTTTTATTATTATATATATATATATATATATAATAATTACACAATATTCACAGAACATACATTTCACATTAAACAGTTACATTTATAATTCACAATACACTTAACTCTATTTACTTCAAGCAAACTTACCTCTTGATTGGCTTACTCCCTAAATAATTATCGTTAAAATTAAAACTTGAATTGCATACCTTTAGGATTTTAATTTTTAATTAATTTTTTCTAGTTTTTTTCATATAGATATGTTTGCAAAAAATTTTTAATCTAACAAAGATAGCAGCTTGGCACTCAACTTTACCTACATAGCCATCTATATTAATTTGAAGAACACACTTACTTCTCTTTAAAAACACTTTGCAGACCCCAACGCTCATTTAGTAGGTAAGTTAGAATTAAAACTACTATTTACTTGCTTTAAGCTTTTTTTTAAATTTTTTATGTAGTATTCAAGTATTTCTAGATATGAAATTATATTTTTAAGTATAATTTGTTTTTAAAATTGTGAATTAGTTCTTTATGTTTCTTATTGGTTTATATGGATTATGTCTAGTTCTTTTTTTAGTTTATTTTTTATATGCATATATGGGGAGGTTTCTGTAGACAAGGGTTTCTAAAATACATTAATATCTAGATTTTTTATAAAAAATTTTTTTTTAAATTTAATTTTTTAAAAAAGTTTAATACTTCACTTTACTTGCTGTTTCTCAAAGACTTATTAGTATTTCCTTTTAACTTTAATTCTTAATGCTAATTTCTAAGGTACCACTTTATTGGTATTTCTTTTTGGACATTTCACTTTTTACTTTTGGTTTTGACTTTACCCTTGCCGCATGAATGACGAACACGAATTGAATGATTGAGAGTTAGGTTTGGAGGCAACTTCCCTTTGATAATCTGTCTCCTGCCTGCTTAACACTTATGCATTTTCATATGCATTTTAAAAAAATTTTGGATTAATTTAATTTGCTAAATTCGTGAATTTATTTTCATGATTGGTTTTGCCTTGATTTTCTTGCTTCTGATTTAAATGATATTGTAGATAGTTCGAAATTAAATCTTTAAATCTTTATATGTTACACATTTAAATTTTTTTTTTTTGGCTTTAAATTTGTTTTTTTAATTTTGGCTTTACATTTGCTTTTTTACTTTATACGGTTTTCAAATTTAAATTTAAATTTAAATAGATACAAACACAATACCCCAATTCAATAAATTAATGAAATTTAAGAAAAACGAACAACCAACGTAAACTCAGTCAAGCAAGTTTTCCTCAATATTTACAATCTGGTATATGAGGTTTAACACAAAATTCAAACATATCAAATAAATAATTCATAGTTGTACAAACTAAAATAAAAAAAAATAAAAAAAGGGGAAAAGTAACAAAATTAAAAAAAAAAAAAAAAAAAAAAACGAAAAGTAAAAAAAATAAATAAAACATTTGGATCTATTTTCGGTTTATGATTTTGTGTTTTTAAATGAAAATTTAATAGATTCTTTTTTCGGTTTTTGATCTCAAATGAACTAGGAGTACGAAACACGTTTTTGAAACGTATTAATCAACTTTTGTGAAGCTTTAATTCATTTTTCCCTGATGAGTTCTGAATTGGAGTTTCAGTAAAATGAGATTAATTATTATTTTTATACATTTTGATCTTGTATTTTTTTTTTCTTTTTGCATTTGCATTTTTATTTCTAGAGTTTGCACTACTATGAATTATAATTTTAATTTTGATATGTTTGGATTTATGTTAAATCTTTCAAAATTGCTAATATTATTGAGAATACCTTGCTTTAACTCATTTACTTTTACTTATAATCTTTAAGCTATTTACTTCAGCCCTGCATTAAGCGCAGGAGGTTATAAAATTGCTTTGAATTTTGCCTTAGGATATGTTTCTTTTTGTATATTCTCTCCATATAATGTAGAAAAATAATATATTAAAAGATTAAATAGCAGCGTAAATTAATTTCTCTTCTCTATTCTAAAATACAACATCTATTGCACTGCATCATTTCGAAAAAATCTTTCATATAATCTTACTTATCTGGTGATGAATGAACTAAAATCAAGCAGCAATAATTACAATATTAATATCATAAAATGCTTGAGACCAAAAAACTCGTTTGATTTAAGATTCTCCTGACTTTCGCACTGTTCCCTGCTTAGCCTAGTAGAAGCTGTCGGTCTGCTGCTGCTTTCTTGCTAAAAAGTTATCAAAAATGTAAGCCTTTTGGAACAGGCACATTTAATGTGCCGACTTGTGTAATGTGCCGTGTTGTGTCTTTTACAGTTCTGTAAAAGACAACTGGTGAGTATTTAAGTAATTTTATGCTACCTAAGAAGGTCTGACTTTACAGACTAAAGTATTTTGAAACTAATAATTTTTTAACCTAATAACGAATATTATTTTTTATAATAAGTCGAACCCCGCTATAACAAACTTCAGGGGAATGGAAATTTGGTTCGCCATATCTGATTCGACAAAAAAAAGTGGATTATCTCATAAAAAACACGTAAAAAATTGAAAAAGTGAATAAAGAAAAAAAAAATATGATTTACATTTTTACATTTATCAAAAGAAGTGAATAATAAATATAATTTTACAAAAACATATAACGATTTAATTATAATTATTATTACACGCAGTATTAAATTTGTAGTTCTTTCATTTCCAGTCTGTGCAAAGTGTCTGGTAAATTCGCTGGACTCTGTTTGAAACATATTTCCAGATATTGGCAGATTACGACTTCTTTTAAATGGCGATCCATTTCAGCAATGCTTCTTCAACATCCCTGTGATCTGTCTTTCTGAAGTTTTCTTTGTATCCAAATTTTCTTCACAAGCAGAAGTTACAGAGTTTGAATTTTTCATATAATTCCAACTATAGTTTCGGATAATCTGAACTTTCAACAGATGTCGATTTGGCTGCATTCATTTTGTAGCTTTCGAATGATGCTCACTTTTTTTTCAATGCAAGAAGCTTTATAGCTGGCCCTGAGGTTGAATTTTGGACACAGGAACAAAGTGCAGAGAGTTTGGTCAAAGAATATATGAACATTTTGCTCTTCTGGAAAATATGAAAAAAGAAGATAGTTTCGTCTACATGTCTTATCCAATGTCTACTGAGAACAAATCATTTTCCACCAGATATATATGGTTGGAACACAAAGATTCAATAATCTGTGCAAGGAATATTTTGTGTTACAAAAGACCTAATGAACACAAAAACTTTGTTCGGAAGATGAGCATTTGCATTCAAACAAAACAAACAAACAAACAAACAAAACAAAACAAACAAACAAAAAAAAAAAAGATAAAGATGAAAACTTTTCATTTCCTGAAAGAAGAATCAGCTTTAAAACTGCAACCATAAGGTTCCCTAATTCCTTTTACCTTAAATAGCGAAAATTTCTATCCTAGCATCAGCCTTGAGTAGAGTTCCGTCTGGCAGCTCAGAAAAGGAATTTCAGCGAGATGAAAGAAGCTATTTATGCTTTCTGGTCCAATGGTTACGCAAAACATATGTTGTCCTAAGATACGCTTATTGCGTAACGTATTACGATACGTTACATTACATTTCCTTTATGGATGGAATGTGGATCTTAATACCTAA